CATACATACATACATACATAAAGCATATTATCTTATTATCTAAAGAATTTAAACAATTTAAACATGAACGTTTAGAATAGGAGTCGTCCAAATAAGTTTAAATCTTAAATTGATCATTTTATTATATTTTATTACTCGAATCATAACTATAAATATAAAAGAATAAAATTATTAAAACTTACTAATAGATGACTTCGGATTCTGTGTAGCAGTTACATTACATATAGTAGTACCTAGACAACGGATTTCTTCCGTTAAATTAGTTTGAATGGTACTCGTTGTTGGTGGATTTGGAAATTCATCCAGACAACTCGACGTTTTCCGAGGATTTTTGTATTTCGGTCTATCATCTTCATCATTTGAACTGCTATCATTGGGAAATGTTATTCTCTTTCGGCAACTTCGACTCTTTTTCAAAGTTTCTAAATCATCTACATCTGTAACTATCTCGGCATCTTTTGCCTTCTTGTTGGCTTCATCATACGTTGCTAAAAGTATATCACAATCAATATTTATGAAGTGTGTAGCAAATAAAACTTATACATTTTATTGTACCTATATTAACCCTAGAACCCGACACGTCGAAAAGTTACGTAAACTCTAAACATGGGTAAATTTTACCCAGCGCATTTTCATTTGCTAATAACTCTCGGAAAAATGGTCGAAATTCAATGATTTTTTTAAAATCGGTGTAGAAAACATCGAGGAAGATAATTATGCTAACAGTTTTGCGGTTAAATAAAGTTGAAGAAAATTATAATTAAAAAACGAAACACATGTTTCTTCAAAATTCGCTTTTCTCTAAAAAATTAATAACTTTTTAACTATAACAGATAAAGCAATGAGGCAAACGCGATTTTAAAGAAGAAGGTTAATTCTTTGAGAAAATCTAGGAGCAGATCACTAGTTATTAAGAAAACTATATTTTTTACAAAAGGAAAATAGGTCTGTTCGAACAAGATATGGATGGGACTTTTTATGGGTTTATTTACTTAATAACTCTATTTTCCCTTTCAATATTTTATTATAAGAAAATGTATTATTATGTATTATTTGTTATTTATAAATAATTTCACTTCTATTGCATAATATATGTTATATGTATAATAAATATACTTATTTGATACAATTATAACCTCTAAAGCACATTTATCATACATCAGCAACCAAGTTTTCAATAAAAACTAGAAAGAAAGATAAATCTCTATTACAAACAAGAAAAAATTAAAAATGAATTTTCCAACGTAAACCCTAAACATGGGTAAAATTTACCCGAACGAAATTTTGCTGTCTTCCCTGTCGAAAACGGTTAGGTGAGAAGACAGCTGAGTTATGCCTTCCAACAAAGGAATTAGTTAACTAATTTTGGCCCTAGTATAGTACTGCCAACTCCTCATATTTTCAGAGCGGTAACGTTCGAAAAGTTGGTCTGGGTAAATTTTACCCATGTGTCGGGTTCTAGGGTTAACACTTGTCATTATGTTTAGATAATAACTTACATGTTGTTGTAAAAATTTTCTTTACGCTAATTACATTCCAATCATCACAAGGATCCATAAGTTTAGAGATAGCTTTGTTGATTCTTGTGTAATTAAAATGGCTTGGCCATTTACAATGGTTTTTGTGTGGAGTGATCCACTTTGTTGGTACCACAGATATTCCGTCTTCATCTTCGAATACCGTGTACACATCTGACGATCTTCCTGAGCTCATATTGAGAATATGTATTGCACCTATTACCTAAAGAATTACAATTTAAGACTGCTTTGAAAAAGAAAGTTAAAAAATGATGTTTTTTAAAAGTTCCGTCATTTTTAACATTTTTAATATATTTTGTATGCAATCCCGGTAAAAGCCATATTAAACATAAATTTATATTTAAACATATATTTGTTTTATTTTCTGATCAAGGAGTAGTCAGGGACAAATAAAGGAAATTGAGAACTCTCCTTTTTCTTTTTACATACCATAACTGCATTTTTTAAATAAACATATATTAACTTCAAATAATTCATATGACTTCTTAAAATGTATATAAATGAAGATACATACTATTTGATAAAACTGCCTATATAGACTTTCTAAAAGCATATAACATTTAACATTTACATTTCTAATTAATAACTTTTAGCGTATGTAAGATGGGAAATACTATATTTTTATTGAAATGTGTTATTACATACGCTTTTGCATATATTTCTTCACATAACCATGATGTTATTAGTGAATTTGTTTCATCAACTAATTTAATTCCAAATTTTTCGGATTTGCAAGGTATTTCATAGAAACTTCCAAGAACTGATCATTTTTTTCCAACTACGTACAAAGTATTTTCGGATTTAGCAAAATTAAGTACTGTAATTATAGAGCCGTCTTTCAATATTATGTAATTGTTAGCCTCATTGTCACAATTTATATACAAGTTGTGATGACGCAGTATTTTGTACTGATTCTGATAATGACGATCGTTTGTGAGAGGTCCGTCTCGATGTTTTTTTTCAAAGTGTATGTTAATGTAAGTCTCCACGCTTTTCATCACGTTAAAATTGTATTCTTTGAACCTTCTAGAAATTTGTTGCAGTGGCTTTTCTCCTTTTCGGATCAAATTCTTTAAAGAACAGATAAAACTTTCAAATGGAAATGCGCTGAATGAATCTAATGAACCAAATTCCTTCACATCGTTAGCTAAGTGTAACAAATTATTCACGTTATAAGATATCTAGCACCATATATCTTTTCAAAAGACGTTACAAAATGACTTAAGAGTTCACTGGCATGCGTAATATATTCAGGGTGATATCGAATAGTCGGATTAACCAAAATCGATATTGCAACATGGAGCGTTAAAAAGTTTATAATATGCGTCGTGACTCAAAATATCTTTTAAAACAACACAGCCAGTATATAACAAAAACTGTCTAAATTCTGTAGCTTTCCAATATTTAACACACTCTAAAGAACGTGGTTTTCCCACAAAATCATTGGGTACGAATTTACGCAAAGCTTTCAAACGGTCTGAAATAATTTGAACATCTCTAGTACACAATCTCGTTGATAAAGGTCCTTTTAGCCATAAAATTATCAATTTCCGCATAACACTTAAGCACACTAGATCATACTAGATGCATGTAATCTAAAGGAATTCCGGACACTAAACCTAAATGAGGAATTTTTCTTAAAATTGTGTCACCTCTTTGATAATCATCTTGATAGGCAAGCCGATTAAAATCAAAATCGTTTCGTATAGCTACTTCATTTTTATTAATAGGGAAACAGACAGAGCCATTAACGTATTCACCATGAATTAAACATTTGCTACAACTGTCATAACCACTATGACATTTGACATTAAGTATGTAGGCTTTAGCTGGTGCATCACATATGATACCACGAATTTTTACTTTATACTGTATTGAATTATATAAAATGCCGTTATGTACTAAAATTACCGCTTCATTAACAAACGGTTCAAGAAATTCATTGCAGTTCTTAGGTTTTCCTTCTCCATTATAAATGCCAATTATTTCAACTTGTTTTATAATTGTGTCACAACACATAATAGGCCACAAATTTTGTGTAGACGACTGACCAATCGGTGCTCCATCAGTGCTTACTAACAATTCGATTTCATGATTACTACAGTTTCCATCACATCGTTTTTTTATAATCCGCTCCACAGCATTTGTTAATCCAAAATGACAATATTCGCCATTTTCTATGCGTGATATATCTGTACATTGTGGAGTTTTCAAAAATATACGTGCGTCTTTAGGAAGATTAAATTTTGTATGTTTATGCAACAAAGTAAGCAAAGAAGTAAATGCATTTAAATTAATTTTAAATGATGTAACCCACTCATGAAGATCTGTTTTGAACATATCATTACAATCATCATTGGTATTTCGATTTTCAGAATTGAGAGATTTATCTAAAACTTGTGTTTTGTTAAATATATGATTAGATTCGTCAGTTTCGTATAATGTATGACAGAGCTCGGCGAGGTAGGTCACTTC